ATATATATATATATATATATAGATATATATATATATATATATATAAAATATAAAGCAAACAGCAAAAACATTGAAGGTAACAAATGATATCAAACCATTATTTGTGGCCAAGAAATACTGTAGTTAATAAATTGTATAAATGTGTAACTTGCTCCGACCTGACATTTACAAAGAATACCTTTGTCCTCAGAACATGATTCAACCTCTCTGTTAAAATGTACTTTCATCATATAGTTGACACTTGCCAGACCGTATTCCAATGTGGTTTTATTGGGTTCACATGGAAAATTTGGACTTTAACTCAAAACCTTTGTAAAATATATACTAGTAGTTTTTAACCTTGTTGACTCAAAGGCCCCCAATATAAGGTAATTTCAACTGGTATTTGTACTGCAATTATGACAAAGCTGTTTATTTTCCTACACTTAATTTGGTCATTCCTGGAATTTCAATATATTAATTAAATACGTTTGCTGATGCCTCTGGTTGAGAACCATTTTGACAACTTACAGCCGGAAGTGCAGTTAAGCTCCGCCCACGAATACAGCTACATAGTTGCAAAAGACACAATTTTAGAGTACTACTGAAGGATAAATATCAGTATAATTTTACACATCATTAGATTCTAAGTAAATGAAATCCGTTAACCAATTTTCATGTAGTCCATACATATGAAATGATGAGACGGTAATCATCCTATAAGATGACGAAAATAAACAAATGTAATCAAATTATAAAAGCTAAATTTCCCCATCAGTGATTTCAGACAGACGCAACAAGCCTGTACATACCCAGTCTGCCCGTTCGTATTCTCCCCCCGCTTCTCGCAGTCGCTTCTATTATGTGTACATTATGAAAACCGTGTTTAAGTAATTTCTGAGCGGCACCAATTCCTGAGATGCCACATCCGATTATAAATATCTGAGAATCACGTGCTGAACGTAGCGCCATTGAATCGGTTCGTGCACGACCATAGACTGTAAAAAAAACACGGACGACCGAACTAAAGGCTTCTCTCTGCTGGGGACTTCCAGTAGCCCCTCACTGCAGAACAAAGATCCAGGGGGCGTGGTTGGATCCACATCTAGGGGGTGGAGATGGTAGTTTATGGGTGGAGATGGGTGGGTTTAGGGATCAGGGGGTGGAGACGGGTAGGTTTAGGTATATGTAAGGTAGGAGGAGTTGGATCTTGTCACCCCCTGCTCATCACCCCCTGGATCTTGTGTTCTGCAGTGAGGACCATCTCGGGACTTCAGCAAACGCTCCTCCCCGAACTGTACTTGATCTCCGAGTAGCCTATGTAACGTCACCTAGACAATAATCTCAATCATTCTATGGAAATATGACTGTCTGCATGGTTCCTCTCTGTTAAATTCATCTAAAAATAGTAAACAAGTCCGCTTTCACTGCACATGACGACGTCCTAGCCCGGAAGTCATTTCCGTTTATCCTCGTCATAAACACGTCATACTTAATTTAACATTTTTATTTGATTATTTTTAATTTTGTCGTCATATGTTACCTCCAATTAAGTAACGCCGGTCATTTGTCATGCATATCTATTTATTTTCCGTATTTATTAATTTTACCATGGTAAATGTCCATGCTCAGTTGTTTGCGCCTACGCGTAGCCTTCTCTTTGTAATGAAATATTTTCTTTTAACTTTTTCTTATATTATTAATTGTTGGCT